TGCTGACATTGGAAGCCTTGTATGCACCGATGGGGCTCATTAGTTTGGTAGTAAGAATATTAGCTTATTATTTACTATTTGTTTTGTAATTTTATTTGGAGGTGGTTTACCCCAAGGAAATGTCACGTTAACCCTTCAGGACCAGTCAATTTTAGGTTTACTCTAGGTCGAGAACCAGACCAAGTTTGTTCGCTATTCCTTTGCATTTGTTCATATTGTTTTTCTTTTTCACTTAGTCCACTTATAAATTATATTATATATTTAAAAGGACATGGAGATCTACCTTTTGATATTCTAGATATGCATGCATATTCCATCATTTAGTATCAACAAAACAATTAAAAAAGGTAAAAAAAAAATGAAACAGCAAACATTTAGAATTGTTTTTTATTTTATGATTCGTACATTAATAATTTCATTTAAGAGTAATGTATTTGTCCTGAGTTCAGAAGATTTTCTCATGCCTAAGATTTACCTATTTTGTCAGGGTAAAGAAACAGTGTTGGTGCTTTAACTTCTTAATTTTATTGAAGTCTGGAGCCCTATGGCACTGTGAATCTGGCACAATATTCTCACTAATTTCATCACATGTTATTGTTGAGGAAATTCACTAAATATCGAATTGAGGGGAGGAAATTAGAAGAATATCATTCAGGTTTTTAAGGCAATTCAGATGTAAAATACAGTACCCTTATAATATTAAGAGTTGTGTAAACTGAGCTCTGAATTGGTCTGAATGAGCATTAAATTGAAGCTTCTCTGAATTGGAGCAAATTGACCTAAAATGGTGCGAATTAATAAGTCAATAATTAATAGACTTGTGCAAAAAATGTTATGGATAGTTTGTCCAAATCAAATTCCTGTTAATCCATACTGAATCAATTTGCCCAGGATTTACCTGTGGAGTCTTATTCATTGAATAAGATTCCATAGGTAAATCCTAAATCGATCAATTTTATCTGGTGTAAATTAAAAGACATTTGATTTGGACAAGGTAGCAGACTAATTCTTTGCACAAATTACTTCTTACATGTGAGAGAGGCATTCATTCTACATAATAACTCTAGAAAACACGTAATTAGATTGGATAAGGCCAGTGGTATTAGGGTAATCAGATTACAACTGGGGAGGCCAGCAAAGTGGTAGATGTACCCTTACTGTTCAATGGCTCATTCCTATTAGATGAACACCAACTTTTGGACTTCGTGCAATTTGGAAAAAGGATAGGTCAAATCTAATTGGGATGAAGACAAGGGATAGGGGATTTATAAATGGGAGTCTAGATAGCTTTCTAGTCCCAGGGTAAAAGACGAAGGGTTCAGAATATATTAAATTAACAACCTGCCATGCGCATATCTCGTTAAAGAAGCAAAGTAGTATAATGTGTACTGTAATAGAAATGTAATAATAAACTTCTCTTCAGTGGTTAATAAGCTGTGCAGTAAAGACTCAAAAAATGTGTAAAATAAAGCAGTTATTCAACCAGGGTTCTCGGCATATGAGAGGTTATTCGATTTCCAATTTATTAGGTTAAGTATTGTGATTGGGATTATCACCACTTCCATTGGGCAGTAAATTCTCTCAGCAGGGCATCCTTGCCGCCCCCTCCTGCTTAGCTTGAGTTGAAGATCGTGTATCTCCACTCATTTTGATCATACCTTTTTGTTCACCATGTCGTGCACAGAGTGCTTTTCTTTCATTACAGCACCACACATTAAACTAACATTTATTTACAGTGTCAACAATTTATGTAACATCTAAAACAAGTCCTGTTCACACATTTAATTTTAGAGTACTCATTTGTTCTACTAAGGTAAAGCAATAAAAATATGTATTTCACTTAAACTCTCATTTAACTCTCAACCTATGGTTATACAATCTTCAACATCATATACAGTAACATTTGAACATTCTTTCCCCATCACCCTCGGCTTTTAACTCTACCTCGATAACCGTTTCAGAGAGATAACCTTGTAGAACTGACCAAGGCGGTCAAACAGTTCATTTTCAAATATTTGTTTTGCAACCAATGTACATTTATTGCTCAAAAGCAGCATATTGTTATTTCTTTGCTCAAAATTGTTTAGCATTAATTTTGCATGCACTAATTAACTCTCTTTTCTTGCAAGAAACATTAAACCAATTAATGGATAAAGTTAAGTCGGGCTCCCATTTCTCCATCATTGTTAGAACCTGCCGGAGAGCCAAAATGTCACCTGACTACCTCCTGGTGGCCAGCCAGAACCAAATACCAGCCAGACAGTAACACATAACTGAATAAATGTCTGAAGATCATAACCTTTGGACCAACTTATTAAAGGACCCCAGTTATTCAGAATGCATTGCAATGGAGTGCAATACTCTGGTCTACTACACCCAGTCCCCATGAGACTTAGAAGCAGGGACATAACTAGATATCACAGGGCCCTGATACAAAAAAGGGCCCCCTTTATGCTCTCACTGATAAACATATACTGACTTACACTTACTGACACACATACACACTCACTGACAGACACAGTCATTCACACAGAAACTGTTTAATCAACACACTTTTTTAGTGACAGACACACATACATGCACTGACAGACGTACACTGATATACACACATTCGCTGACTAACACACACACTCACTGAAAGACAAACACACTCGCACACTGACAGACACACTCTCATTGATTTTACACACACTAACAGACACTCACTGACAGACATACTCTCACTGACAAACACACACTCACTGAAGACACACACTCTTACTGATTTAACACACACTGACAGACACATACTCACTGACAGACATACATACAAACTGACAAATGCACACACTCACTGACAGAAACACACATACTTACAGACACTCACACACTCATTTGACGCAGACACAGTCACTTATTGACAGAAATATACTCTGATTTGATACAGACACACGTATTGACAGACACACACTCACTAGCAGACACACTAATTTATTCATTGACAGACACACACACTGATTCGACACAAATACACATTCTCTCACACACACGCAAAAAGTAGTTTTATCACAGCTGCGTCCCCTGCGACCATGGTAGTTCTGCCACTGTCTGGAAGAGTTACCGTACAAGTATGACCAGAACCCTACTTTACTTACAGTGAACACCAAATATCTGTGTTCTTTTCCTAACCTGAAAGAGTTACCGCACAAATATAACTTGTACCGCTTTTTAACCTGGAAGTGTTACTGCACAAGCCCAACTTGTATCCCTTCCTGAAGTGTTACCACACAAATGTAACTCGTAACCCTTTTATATATCATCACTTGTAATTCACTTATTTATTTATAGTATTTGTACACCAAGCTAGTTATCCAATCTAATTACGTGTTTTTAGAGTTATTATGTAGAATGAATGCCTCTCTCACATGTAAGAAGGAATGATGAAAAAGTTTGTAAATTAAAATATATTGTTTTGTTTACTGCCACTAGGAAATTATTTTAAATTGTGAGACTATTAATGCTTTGGAATTACTAATTTCAAATTATATATCTTTGAAATAGAAGAATAGAAGTTTTGGATACCATGGGGGGTCATGCAGATTTGTTTCTAGTGTTTTCTACATTCCAAGAGCCACTACATTTTCCGTGTTACCCCATAAAATTGGATATTTAAGTGATAAAAATGTTGCTATGACTGGAGCTAGGGAGACATACTCAAACTGCTTTTCTGAAACCTCTCTATATTGCAATTCAGGGACAAAGAGTTAAAAACAAGAATTTGCATTATCAGAGAATAAATGTGATTTACAACTGTATGTGAGATATCTTTTCAGCTGATTACATCAATGTTAATGTGCACATTGATAAGACTTCTGTTTATGAGTTGCCAGCAGGCACCCAAGGAGTAAACTCCAGAGGATATTCTCTCCAATGTTCCTCTTGACACTTGGGCAACAGGCAAACCCAGATTAGCCAGAAAATGCCATATCTGTGTATTGTATTGAAATCATCAGCCCAGCCTGTGCAAGGTGACCAGATCCACCATGTTTACAGGGACACATATAAGTTTTTCATATTGATGAAAATGCATGAAAAGGGTTGCCCTACAGTGTGTATAATGCATATTCTGCATTATTGCCTACTGCCTAATCCTTAATTGCAGGACTTTTCATTGCCTAATTGCTTCATTTAATAGACCTTCTTCTGAATTCTACATACTACAGGACTACCCTTTTCATATGCTGCCCATCAATATGTATATGTGACATGGGTCCCAGAAAACATGGTGCATCTGGTCATCCTGAGCCTGTGAGACATACAAATGATTACATAATTACAGTCTGTTATATAGGCTGTTAACACTGAAGGATGTTTGCTAGCTCTCAAATTCTGCTATCTTTTGTAAAAGAAAATTTGCAAGTCAAGTTCCTGATTGCTGATTGTTCCCAGACTCTGGTCAGAATCTCAGATTACAGACTTTTTTTTATTACCATCTTGCTTCATTTGTACTCTCTTTGTGCTATATAGTCCTGCAGCTGTGCTTCACCACAATGGATCCTCAAAAGTTCCAGGCAGGCAGAACTTCTGGGCTTAACCAAAGAGGCTAAGCGGATTCAGGGTAAACAACTCCCATGGTGGTGTGTACGCAGCCGGAGGCAGAAGTGTGATACCGGAGAACTACACCTTTAAGCATCAGCAGACCTGGACTCGATCACCATAAGGATTTTGTATCAGGTGTTGCTGGACTGGAGAACTATCAATCAGATACTGCAATAAAGTTATCATATAGCTCCTAATCCCCATACAGCAGGAGGAATATTGCTTTTACCACAATGGACTGAAAGGTGCTTTGTATTTTGTATCCCAGTGACCAAGAAAAGTGAACTATTATTTGCCTTTGAATAAGAAGATCCAGATACAAGACTGAAGTGTCAACTTACTTGGACTAGTCTACCTTACGGATACACAGAGTCTCCAACTATTTTTGAGGGACAATTGAGCAACGGTTTGACACTATGGACTCACAACCCTGCCACTGCGCTGTTTCAATATGGAGATGATTTATTCCATACCAGCCATACCAGACATTAAAATGTTGAATAATGTGTTTCATTGCTTTGTTTCGTGGCAGTATGTGATTGTTGCCTTTGACATCTTACTGTGGAATCTCACCATGAGGACTTGATGGTTAAAGAAAATTCATTATTGAAAACACCAGCATAACTAACTGTGCCTAAATATCTAAAACCCACCGAACAAAATAGGTGGGGGTGTCTAGAGTGCCCTATCAAGAATAGGTAAAAGCTATTGCAACATGTAGAGTGCTATATACTCCATTTAGTTTTACATACCAACATTTGCCAATATACTATATAATTTAATACCATGGATGTCACTTTCTCACAGGTCCTGGCATCTTACCTCTACTGGTTCCTCTACTGCACTTTGTCTGAATTTGGGTTAGTTGGGTAATTGACCGAATTCCCAAACTCCATGCTGAAATGCAGTTGGCAGATTGGGGCAGAGGGAGGTTTAAAAATTCCCCCTACATTAATATGATGGCCTTATTAACTTCCATAGACATTTCATTTATTGATTTCTTTTTAATATTTTTAATGTGGCAGCTGTCTAGCAAGCACTGTGAAGATCAATAGTTCAGATTGCAAAATTTGATCCATATTTTAGTCTGGCGCCATTCAGTCAGGCTGAAATCATGACCAGATTCAACCCAATTTGGACCTGGTTTTCAAAATTCAGACATTGTTACATTACATGAACAATGTCCATGTGGTACTGAGGCCATTAGGACATTAGTGAATTGGCACTTAAAATATATATATATTTTTATTTTTATTTTTTCAGATGAAAAAAGTCACATCATAGAAATGTTTTTAATTAAGTCACATTATTAAACAACATTATAGAAAAACAAATTCATGTTGATGGGGTTTTACTTAAATAGAGGATTTTAATATATAAAAAGGAGAGCCGTTGAAAATGTAAAATGTCATTATTTTATTTTTTATTATAACTATTAGATTTGTTAGGCAAACAGTGCATGTGGTTCTGAATTCCATTAATCTGTGAAATGATAGGAAAAAAATAATGCCATTCTTTTAGAAAAACTCTGTATAAACCATAAACTGTCATTTTTAAGCAAGGGTTGAATATAATTGCAAACACTGCATTCAGGTATTTGCTTTTTATTGAGACATGTTATATAGTGTATCACTGCTGGAGATCATCTGTTGCGTTCTCAATCACAATCCATAAATTAAGTGTTTTTGCATGTGTGTTCTCTGTACTCAATTTTAATTTAACAGTAGTTTCATCTGCCATCATGTTTGGAAATCTACAATTCATCAACCACTGGTACAATGTCATATTGCACAGTTTTTTCTGTTGTATATTTTATTGTACTTTGCAAATTGTTTCAGTTACAATAAATTTACAGTTTCTAAATAATCTATATATTGCAGATTATATTTTGTTTATTGTTCAATCTGTCCAATTTGGTTTTCTAACCTTAATTGTAATGCTTTCTTTCCTTAAGTTTCTTGGTTTTATTACACATTTGACTTAGTTTCCCCAGGATGTCACTGTATGTACCTTTATTTGAAGGTCACCAGTGAATATATTAAATGCCAGCAATCATGACTGGTGTATAGTCACCATATGGGCAGTCGGAACCTTGGACAACCAACCCACATACCTATCCCCAATAACACGCTGACACTAGGAATATGGGAAAAATTGTCCACAGCTTTATTAACAAACAGAAACGATACTAATAATTTAACATATATATATAACACATGGGTCATTGCCCCCCATCCTCCGCCCTTGCATCTATACCTTCATTAAATATCAGGGCAATGACCCAACATAAGCAACACATAAATATATATAAATAACACTTTAACTTTACTCCAACATGAACCGATTTGAATGCAACCATAAGTAACCACGGTAGGGGTATACCCAGATACCCCTACCCCACCAGGTTCTGAGCCACCTCCAGGACTCGAAACCCACCATCGACCAGTGACCACAATTCTTCATGTTCCTCACGTTCCTCATGGAGAGCCTATTTTTCCTTCCCTAGCTCTCTATCCCGCCGCTGTGACAAAACGGGATAAAAGAAAACAAACACATTACAGGGAGGGAGGGAGGGACAAACACAGCTAGGTAGAAATTAATGTGCACATTTTTAAAATGGCTGCCTAATAAATAGCCAGCCCCCATCCCATAATCCCACAGTCCTGCTTGGTCCCTCCTATGCCCGCCTCCTAACCCCTGTCAAGGCCCTTTTCCGCTAAGCTGCGCTCTGGCTACATGGGGCTACATGACTGGTGTATAGTCGCCATATGGGCAGTCGGAACCTTGGACAACCAACCCACATACCTATCCCCAATAACACGCTGACACTAGGAATATGGGAAAAATTGTCCACAGCTTTATTAACAAACAGAAACGATACTAATAATTTAACATATATATATAACACATGGGTCATTGCCCCCCATCCTCCGCCCTTGCATCTATACCTTCATTAAATATCAGGGCAATGACCCAACATAAGCAACACATAAATATATATAAATAACACTTTAACTTTACTCCAACATGAACCGATTTGAATGCAACCATAAGTAACCACGGTAGGGGTATACCCAGATACCCCTACCCCACCAGGTTCTGAGCCACCTCCAGGACTCGAAACCCACCATCGACCAGTGACCACAATTCTTCATGTTCCTCACGTTCCTCATGGAGAGCCTATTTTTCCTTCCCTAGCTCTCTATCCCGCCACAAGCTCGGACCTTGACCCCTCAAGCCGACCGAGCTCCGCCACCCCGAAGAAAGAGAGCCCTCTGCATCCCCTCCTGCAAACCCAAGTTCAGCAAATCCAGACCCACCGCTGAAAGATGAACACCGTCCGTGTGGTAATAACCCGGCAGCCCGCCTTCCAATTCTACGTGCCTCACTACCACGCCCCCCAATTTCCTCACGAAGCTTGCCATCAAGCTGTTAACTTTTCCCCTGCATCTATCGATGGCCACTGGGTCCCTCGCGTGTCGCCACCGACGCCTCGGAACGATCTCAGACCACACCAGCATCACCCCGGGAAGCAGATCGAACAACCTGTTCAGGTCCTGCTTCATCCATTTAACCAACCGACGTTGCGGGATGAGGCCCAGGTCATTGCCCCCGGCGTGCAGAACTAGCATATCTGGCCTCGCCCCGCCTGCTACCATCCGAATTATTGCCCCGCACACGTCGCCCCAGCCAAACCCCTTAAAGCCCAACCATCGCACTGTTAGGAGGTCTTTCGGGAAGCCCAGCTGTTGGCCCTGGGCTCGAGCTGCAGCTCTCCGTCCGGCCCAAACGATGAAGGAATGGCCCACAATCCATGCGACACAACCTGGGGAAGAAGGGAAACAACGTAAACACCCATACCCATACCGGGGCCCACCCCCCGACCGATACAGCCCGCATCACTGATCCAACAAACCCATGCGCACATACGTGCGGAACCGAGCGGATTCCCATCTCCCAATCCTTTTGACTAACTCGTCCCCCATGCCCAGACGCGCGGCCTCAGTGGCCGCCCCTATGCGAAAGGAATGCGTCCCGTAGGCAGCAACATTCAACCCCAACGCCCCCAGACCCAATCGGAACACCTTAGTAAATTGGAAACGGGAGAGCGAGGAGCCATCGGCATGAACCAATAAAGACCCCCCGACTGCCGTTCTCAGTTCCAAGAACCGAGCCACAGCCGCAACTGGGCACAGTGATGACCCAGGCAGGGGGCCCAGCGTCACATCCCGGCCTTTTCCCATGACGTCCGTTTTGGATGTAGCCAGGTATACCACCAGGTTCCCAGCGATCATGCGAACACCGGATAACTGCAGACCCCCCGACCCCGACCGCGTGGCGCTCACCAATTCCCCTAACCGAAATGCACCAAAGAAGGCCAAGAGAAAGGCTGTCCTGAACAGGGCTACCTCAAACCCGTCAAAGCAGATTCCGGGAAGCACGTGGAGTAAATTCCCAAGCACCCGAACCGAGACCGGACGCCTAGCATCCGGTACCCTCCGACCCCTCCGATACCCCTTGAGAGCCTGCCTAATGACAAACGCTTTCGTGAGGTCCTCCCACCCGTGGAATTTGAACCAAAAGGCCATCGCCGCCATGGTCCTATCAACCATTGCTGGGGACACACCTTTTGCCAGCAATTGAAAAATGAACCACAGGAAGGCGTCCTGCGACGATTCCACCTGTGGCCCCTGGCCCAGCCCCTCCCAGGAACGTTCCCAGGCACCCCAAACCTTACTGTATGCGGTCCATGTGGCAGGTGCCAGCGAAGCCCTCACAAGTCCCCCAAGCATGATGCTCCGAGCTGCCACATCTCGTCCGGGCACGCCTGCCCGGTCTCCTGAGCCTCCGGAGCCGCCAACCGAAACCGGGACCACTGAAAACGAGACAGAGCATCAGCCACCTCGTTCAAATACCCGGGCACGTGACGCGCGCGAAAAACTACATTAAGGGACATGCAAAGCAAAACAAAACGTCGCAATAGTGTCACCACCGGTTTGGATGCTGCCGACTGATTATTGACGGCATGCACCACCGACATATTGTCAGAGAAGAAGACTACTTTGCGGTCCCGAAGACAATCCCCCCACAGGGCCAATGCCACTACCAACGGGAACAGCTCCAGAAAAGCCAAGTTCCGTATGAGGGGACTTCGTCCCCACGCTTCCGGCCACTTCTGAGCACACCATCTCCCCTTGAAGTAGGCCCCGAAACCCACGCTACCCGATGCGTCGGTGAACAGCTCCAATTCGGCCGTAGACACACCCTCCTGACGGAAGAACACCGTCCCGTTAAAGTCTTGCAAAATACCTTCCAGACGTCCAGGTCAGCCCTCATTGAGGAAGAGACCCGAACGAAATGGTGTGGAGAACCGACCCCCGCCGTGGCTGCCGACAGGCTGCGGCTAAACACCCTACCCATGGGTATCACCCTGCAGGCAAAGTTGAGCATCCCAATCAACGATTGTAGCTGCCGCAGGGTCACCTTACGCGCCCGCTGCACCGCGGCCATCGTACTGCGCAGTCCGCACAACTTAGTCAGAGGCAGCCGACATTCCCCACGCACAGAATCTATCTCTAAACCCAGGAAGCTGAGACACTCGGTCGGGCCCTCAGTCTTGTCCGCCGCCAACGGCACCCCGAAGT